TGGATCATGAGACCATATATGGCATAATTAAGATAAAATAAAATAAAAATATAATAAATATTGTTCCTGGGTTAGTGCTAAATGATGGGTAGAACAGAGTTAGGGTTAGTGGGACGTCATCCAAGTCGCGTAGTGTCAGACCATTAGCAGTGATTGCGGTTAGGTCATTTGATCACGTAAGTCGTTGACAGACGTGCTAGCTTTGCCCTGTGTCAAGCACATTATTGATATCAGAGCCATGTTGAATGTTCATTATAGTTAGTTTTATTTAATTTTAATTATACATATATGGTCACATACATCCATATATGAGTACTAAACCTACAGAAGAAGTAGCCTCAGTGGCAAATACAGTAGCCAATACAGTAGCCTCTACATCAGAGGCCAGAGAACTCGTTGCTTACCAGGATGTAAAGGAAGCCCTTGATAAGTGGACTATCCCTAAGGTCAAACCAGATACTATCTATAAGATAGGAACTTTTGACTTTTCCAGTAAGAAAATAATCAAAACATTTGAGCATGCTATGCCTATCCAGAATAATGATGAGATAATATATCTCCTTCATTTCCAGGATTTATATCCTTTTATCTAGAAATATAAGTATGTTCATATAGGACTTGTCCAGATTGCTTTTAAGCCTTTGACACTTTTAGGTCAAAATACCAGTCTCCAATGTACGCTCAAAGATGGAAGATGCACTGATTGGAGGGCATCACTCATGGGAGCTGTAGAAACTAGTCTCTCACATGGTCCAGTATATTTTGATATTTATCCAAATTTAAGTGTAGCACTCTCTGATGCAAACTTATCTAAAGTTTTAGAACTTAGAGTGTTGTCTAATGGATACGAATATCTTCCAGGATCACCACCTTATGCGGTAATTTCCAGAATTTACCTTAAGGTTTTAACAACTTTAAATCCTTACATTAGGAAACAAAGTCCAGCAGGACACACAGTCCTAATTGATACAAACATTTACAGTAGCCAGGTAGCAATACCCAAAATGATACCTTGGGAAGAAATCAAGTTTCCAGAAAGATGGCAGATAAACCAAGCTGTTCCAGCTAGGCCACTTATTCAGCAAACCTTAGATGAGGTTATTCAGACCCAAGGCGAGAATGTGTTCCTCACTTTCAAGAGACCACCTAGATCTCTTTCCCGAAGTATGTCTAGTACTAATTACAGAACTGCTCCATCATACAGAGTAGATCTGCCATAATCATCTAGACAGTCTTACTCTGAACTAGCTGAGTCTATAAGACCACAATCTAGACCTCCTACTAATACCCAACTTGAAACAGACCCTATAGTTCAGAGGGTACAATTTTCAGAAAACCAAATACCACATGGTATTTATGGATCTAGAAGGCAAGAAAGGCGGCCTTACAGCCCTACAACCAGTGACATGAATTTTGAACTTTAATGGATTTTACGCCAGGTAGTAAAATCAGATTAGTCCTTAATGAGGATTTACAGAAAGAAGAATACAAAACATTCAAGGAATGGTATTTTAAAATCCATACTCCTTTGCAATTAGAACAATATAAAATTCAGTATTATGAATATCTGGAACAACACCAGATAATCCAGTCTTTCCCTCACTGTTATGTTCAAAACATAACCCCTACAGAATCTCAAATAAATGTAATTGAAAAAAATCCAGCAAACTTGGGTTAGTATAGATGGTCAAAACTTTATGTCTATCCATCCACCAACCCAGCCTTTGGAGTTACAACCTATAAGTAGTGGTACAGGTACAAAACCTTTAGCTATTGCTGCTTATATGGAAATACTTCACAAATCTCAGAATAGGGATCCAGTCCTTGTCCAAGATCTAATTCCTATTTTAAAACAGCATAATTATACAAATTTGTTTTGTCAAACAGCAGGCAAACAAATTACCAGAATTGAAGAAACTGTTAATCATATCAAAGACAGTTGTCATTCACAGCCAAAATTCGAGGTTAAAACTGAAATTATTCCAGTAACAATTAAACCTCCTTTAGAAGTAACCAAATTTAAGTTATCTTCTACTAAGAAAAATACAGAATTTATGGATACTCTTGTCGATAAGATAAAACATCTTAAAATAGGAGAATCCTCTTCTATTAATATGTTATCCAAACAAAATATTCCAGAAGAAGAAAATTTATCACTCTCTCAAATTGCAGAAATTGAAAATGTTTTTCAGGACAATCCAATCTCCATACATAAAGTCCATTATGGAGAATTTTCAAGAAATAATCATAGGACTGCTCTAACAAGACATTTTTATCCTCGCAGTACTCCTATGGATATTCTCTATGAAGAAGATTTTTTACAGACACAAAAATCCTATCATGGAAAAACCATTTATGAATGGAACATAGATGGTCTTTCGGAATACTAGATATTTGAATTGTTACATCAAATGATCATGTATTCAACAATTTGCAAACAGAATGAGAATGGCAATCATGAGATTGCTCGATTCTTAGTCAATGGTTTTACCGGCATCCTCAAAGGATGGTGGGATAACATCATTACAAATACTCAACAAGCAGAAATTCTTACAGCATTTAAAAGAATTACAGACCCATTAACAGGCATTGTTCAATCTGAACAGGACGCTGTTTATACTCTTATCAACACAATTCTACACCATTTTGTAGGAGCTTCTCCTGATGGTTTAGAAGATAGGAGCAGGGAACTTTTACAGAATCTAAGATGTCCATCTTTATCTCATTTTCGGTGGTATAAAGATGTGTTCATGATGAGAGTAGTAAGACGATCTGACGCCAATAGTGAACATTGGAAAGCCAAGTTCATTGATGGTCTTCCTACCCTCTTTGCTGAAAGAATTAGAAAGAAATTAAGGGATAAGCATAGTAAAATGTCTATTCCTTATTCCGAATATACTTATGGCCAACTCATAAGAATTGTTACAGAAGAAGGTCTTGCCCTTTGCAATGATCTAAAATTACAGAATCAAATGAAAAAACAAAGTCATAATGAATTAGGTGAATTTTGTGAACAATTTGCCTATGATACTAAAATCCAGTATCCATCCAAACATAAGCATAAAAAACATAAGTATGGAAAATCTTCAAAAGATTATTCCAAAAAATACAGAAAAAAGAAATATTATAAACAACCAGTTCAGCAAATCCAGCCTTCAAAGGCCAAAGGAAAACAAAAGAAAACTTATCCTCAAAAGGATAAGACTACAGTTAAATGTTACAAATGTGGACAAATTGGTTACTATGCTAATCGTTGAAAGGCTAAAATACAACAGAAATTAAATGAATTAGCTTTAGACGATGAAATTAAACTATTGAAGCGGAGGGCTCTAGTTTCAATCATAACCAGTCATTGCTTAAAATAGCAAAAACACTAGTGATTTTTTTTCCCTCGTCTCATTCCTCGCACTGGTATTTTTGTAGGGGTGGATACCTTCTCCTTTTCTCCCTATATACATTGCCAACATCCATAAAAGCAAGCATGGGAGTGACTCCGCAACTTATGACACTGAAGGAAGGTAAGCATATTAGAATTCACAAGTAATGCGAATAGATCATCTAATGTAGTTTACAATTCTCTAATGTTGTTTACGTTTGCATTCCATATCCAATAAATATGCAGGTACATGCCTGTGAACTTTGAAAACATCTTTAGCAAGTACGCTTGCACAGTCCCCGACAAGCTCACGTTTGGAGAGATCTGGGAAATGACCCAGGGAAATCGAGAAGCATTTGACATCTTTGGCTGGTTTGTGCCAAGATTTGCACACTACATTCTATTTCCATTAATGTTGCTTTGGATTCCTTTAGCTTAATAATTTGTTTCACTGCTATTTTGGAATGTTTGCAAGTAAGTTCGAGTGGGGAGTACTGTATGTTCTCGCTAGGGATGAGGAAGGTTTGCTGTCCAAGGAAGCCATTAGGCGCTGCTTTGATGGGAGTTTGTTTGAGTATTGTGCCAAGATGCAGATGGGCGGCGAGGAGAAGATGGGCTGAACCAATGTTGGCTTTTGTGGTGGCTATAAATGGCCGTCTACTTTAAGTAGTTGTGAAAATCACTTAATATGAGGTAATTCTGTTTTGTGCATATTTTGACTTTGTTGTGGCTAAACATTCCGCTACTAGACTTGTCTATAGACATATATATGTCTGTTGGATGTGTATGTAATGGATTTGCCTAGTGTGTGCAATAAAATCTGAGTAAATAAAATGAAAAGACAATGTAAGGGTTTGAGTAATGCAGAATTTTCGTACAAAATTTCTATGTAGTAGCTGATTTTGGTTCTCTCATTTCCAAATATCATAATGTCAAAAATGTCACTGCACTTTTAGGGGAGAGATTGAGATTTAGAGCATGTAATTGTATCATTTTTTCTCCTCAATTCAGAAGAACAGAATCCCAAGATTTAGGGGGGAAACAATCAAATCTGTTTATAAGCTCCGTTGTGCTATATGTAACTGGACGTTCCTAATTTCCTATAACTTAACACGATAGATCAGTAATCTTTGGAAAAGGGAGAGACTTTTTCAATATTCTTTGATTTCAAAGCGACATTATTAAATGCTTTTGTAAGTTGAGAGCTCCTCAAGCTGGTAAGTTTAACTTTAGTACCGATTATTTATGGTCACTTAGGAAAAGTGAAAATTACTGAAGTTGGAATATTATCTAGTAAAAGGGCAACTCGACTTAATTGTAAGATTTGCCACTGGCATTTTGACAGGTTTGAGTATAAGATTCGTGTATATCTTTTTCCTAAATATTACTTTAGCAGAAGTATTGTTGGATAGTTCCAGAAGTTGAGATGCACAAGCATATATACATACCCAAAGGGCCAGCAAAACAAACATGGTGCAAGGGCGAATGAAAATGCAGACTCTCGATAAAAATCAATCAACTCATCAACAGTATACAAACATAGCTTATTTTTGTTAATTTCTAACATAAAATATAGAGTTTTTATCACAAGACAAATCTTGTAAACAGAGTCTCTCTTGATCAATCAAGAAACATAGTACATGGGATTTGGAAGCTTAAATGTTCTTTTAGCAGTAGGGAGTCCCTCAATGCTACTCCATTGGTCTCCAACAATGCCCCAAATGTGATACCCTTGTTCAATCAATTGCTTCCTTATATCAGCCTTGTATTTCTGTACTTCCTTATATTCATCACTTGGTCCCCTACATCAAAAGGATAATAATGTTCCAATAATTTCCCTCTCCCAGAACTTTCACCAAGACAGTACTACCTGCTCGAGCGCCAACAAACCCGCTCGAGCGCGACCCGCTCGAGCGCAGGAAACTTGCTCGAGCGTAGAAATCACACCTGCAGAAGTTTTGCAGGGACACGAAATACTGGGAGTGTGCAATCTCCACTTGAGCGCCAGAACACCCGCTCGAGCGGTAAACCAGAAACCAAACTCCGCTCGAGCGCAGAATGACCCACTCGAGCGTAACACTAAAAACCTGGGCAACAAGGATTTAGACCAAGGCTCAACCCACCTGTTCAACACAAGCCCAACATATCCTAAAACTCAATCAAATGGAACTAAAAGAACAACAACAAGGTAGACACAACTACCAACTCCACGAAACTGAGCCCAGAATACAACTAAACAGTAAAGGGACAACCGAGATCGTTATAACCTCCCCCCTTAAGGAATTTCGTCCTCGAAATTAAATACAAATTTTCCAAAAACAGGTTTTCTCCATTCTCAACAATATTATAACATAATATTAAACACTCCGACCCATTACCGGTCAATCCCATCTCTTTTCAAGAGGCATTTCACATTATACGTAACAACCTGCATTATCAATATGCATTCCTTTGAAACTAATCCATTTCAACTCATTTTTCACAATTCTTTAACACATGCAACATTAATATCATGCTTGCATTTCCACAAATTACTTAACATACACAATGTTAACATAACTTCCATTTACCAAAGCATTCACAATGTTTTACAACTTAAGACACATATAATGTTCTTAAAGTTCAATATTATTACAAACTTTCATTACATGATTACATATCAACAAACATGTCCGGATACTTTTCACGGACCTCCAACTCATGTTCCCAAGGGGCTTCCTCCACTCTGTGATGCTTCCACAGAACTTTTACCAAGGGAATGGTCTTGCCACGCAGGACTTGATCCCGCCTATCCAAGACCCGAACTGGTCTCTTCTCATACGAGGCATCCTTATCTACCTCTAAGTCGGTCCAGTCTAACACATGGGATGGATCCGGCTTATACTTCCAAAGCATTCACATGAAACACGTCATGCACTCCGGACAACTGGGGTGGCAAAGCCAAACGATAAGTAACCTCCCCAACCCTCTCAAGGATCTCGAAGGGACCGATAAACCGAGGGGATAACTTCCCACTCTTCCCAAACCTCATCAAACCCCGTCTAGGTGATATTTTCAAGAAAACATGATCACCTATCTCAAACACCAAAGGCCTCCTCCTACGGTCGGCATAACTCTATTGGCGACTCTGGGCTGTAACAAGCCTCCTACGGATAAGCTTAACTTTCTCCGTCGTCTCCCTAACCAACTTCGGACCCAACAAAGGTGTATCACCCACCTCGGCCCAACACACTGGAGACCTACATGGTTGGCCATACAAGGCCTCAAACGGTGCCATACTGATACTAGACTGAAAACTGTTGTTGTAGGCAAACTCCACCAAGTTCAAGTGCCTCTCCCACGTCCCAATAAAGTCAAGAACACAACCTCGAAGCATATCCTCAAGGATCTGAATAGTACGCTCAGACTGCCCGTCAGTCTGAGGATGATAAGCCGTACTAAAGGTCAACTTAGTGCCCAACGCACTCTGCAAACTCTGCCACAACTTGGCAGTAAAACGAGGATCTCTATTTGAGATGTTCGTCACTGGGACCCCGTGCAATCTCACTATGTCCCGAATATATAAGTCGGTGAGATGATCTACCGAATCTCTCACACGCATAGGGATAAAATGCGCCGACTTAGTCAACCAGTCTACAACCATCCAAATAGCATCACTACCCGCTGAGTCCTCGGAAGACCTACAACGAAGTCTATAATGACATGCTCCCACTTCCACTCGGCAATAGGCAAGGGTTGTAACAAACCCGCTGGCCTCTGATGCTCGGCCTTCACTTGCTGACCAGTAAGGCACTTAGACACGAAAACAGCCACATCTCTCTTCATACCCTGCCACCAGAACTGGCGACCCAAATCCCGATACATATTAGTGCCTCCTGGATGCACCGCAAGGCGTGAATGATGGAACTCTCGGAGTACTTCCTCTCGGCAAGACTCCGGCACAAACAAACGGCCTCTATATCTCACACTCAGGTCGGGATACACCGTCAAACCCTTCTCAACCTTCCCACTGGAGATCTTCTCTCGGAGGGATTCTACCTCAAGGTCACCTCTCTGTGCCTCTAACACTCGAGTCACAAGTGTAGGCTGCGCAACAACGGAGAACAAGGCCGCAGCCTCAACAGATTCGCCTAGAAGCAAATCAAACTCGCCAAGTGCACCCAACATCTCCCATTCCTGGATGGCTATACAAGCTACATCACTAATGGATTTCCTACTAAGGGCATCGGCCACAACATTGGCCTTTCCCGGGTGATAGTGCAACTCAAAATCATAGTCTTCAATGAACTCCATCCACCTTATCTGCCTCAAATTTAAGTCTCTCTGTGTAAATAGATACTTCAAACTCTTGTGGTCCGAGAACACCTCGAACCTCTCACCATAAAAGTAATGCCTCTAAATCTTCAAGGCAAAGATCACTGCCGCTAACTCTAGGTCATGTGTAGGGTAATTCTTCTCGTGTATTTTCAACTGACGTGAGCTATAAGCTACCACTTTTCCCTCTTGCATCAACACACAACCCAAACCCTTTCGTGAGGCATCACAATAAACTGTATAACCCAACCCTCTCTCCGGAATAATCAACACCGGAGCGGTGGTCAATCTAACCTTCAACTCTAGGAACGACTTTTCGCAAGTCTCACTCCACACAAACTTGACCCCTTTCCGCATCAATCTAGTCAACGGCGAAGCTAGCCTAGAGAAATCTTTCACAAACCGACGGTAATACCCAGCTAATCCCAGAAAACTGCGGATCTCAAACACACTCTTAGGTTGTGCCCAATCTTGCACTGGCTCTACCTTGGATGTATCAACAGACACCCCTTCCCCGAATACCACATGGCCTAAGAATTTGACTTCACCTAGCCAGAACTCACACTTCCCAAACTTGGCATACAGCCATGTGCTGTAAGCAATTCAATCACCACTCTCAAGTGTTCCTCGTGCTCCTCCTCAGAAGGCGAATAGATAAGAATGTCGTCCACGAAAATGACCACAAAGCGATCTAGGAATTCTCGGAAGATTCGGTTCATCAAGTCCATAAAGACTGTCAGTGCATTGGTAAGCCCAAATGGCATCACCAGAAACTCATAATGGCCATACCGCGTACGGAATGCCGTCTTCGGAATATCCTCCTCCCTGACCCTCAACTGGTGGTAGCCCGATCTCAAGTCTATCTTTGAGAAACAACGGGAACCCTTCAACTGGTCAAACAGATCATCTATACGGGGCATAGGGTATTTATTCTTAACCGTAGACCGATTCAACTTTCAGTAGTCGATACACAATCTCAAGACACCATCTTTCTTCTTAGCAAAGAGGGCCGGCGCTCCCCACGGCGAAACACTAGGGCGAACAAAACCCTTATCTAGCAATTCTTGGAGCTGAACCTTCAACTCACTCAACTCGACTGGGGTGAAACGATAAGGTGCCATAGAAATCGGTGCCGTGCTGGACACTAAATCAATAGAGAACTCTTTCTCTCGGTGAGGTGGCAGACTAACGAGATCCTCGGCAAAAACATCCGAATACTCACAAACCACTCTCGGTAATACAATCTGGGTCTCATCACACTCACCACTCATAAAGCTAGCAAGTAGACCACTAAGCTCACTCTGCCCTCGCAGATCATACACCGGTGGCAACACACTGCCAACCCGATCCCCTAAGAAATGGAAACACTCCCCGCTCAAGGTACAAACTGTCACCCTCTGGCGGTAGCAATCAATAACAGCCCGGTATGACGATAGCCAGTCCATACCCAAGATAACATCAAAACCCTTCATGGGCATAACAACAAAAGGAAAAGGAAGCCTACGGTCGACGACCTCTATATCACAACCTCTACATCCGTGTTTCAAAATCAATTCACCCCCAACAGGTGACACCACACAAATAGGAGATGCTAATAGTGCCAACTCTAACTCCAACACAGATGCAAATGCAGTAGATACAAAAGAATGAGACGCACGCGTATCAATCAAAACACTAGCAACCGAGTTAAAAAATAGAAAAATACCTCTCACAACTAATGGAGCTGGTACTAGGTCCTGCGTGGTAACAGCATACACGCGCCCTGTAGGCCCCTGGTCCACTTGCTCACCTCTAGGAGCAAAAGACTACTGCACTGACTGGGATGACGAAGCTCCCAGGTTGGCCCTCGAGGCCTGCACAGATTGAGCTGGCTGATAACTCTACGTCTGCCTAGAGCCAGACACTCCCGATGTGGCACCCAACTGTGGGCAAAACCTTTTCAGGTGCCCCAATTGACCACACTGATAACAAGACAAAGGCTGGCCCCTGCCCTGACTCTGGTCCTGAGGTCTAGCTGAAGAAGAAGCAGCTCGTTGACCCCCTCCCTTCTGTGGGCAAACCGAAGACTTGTGACCCAGCTGGCCACATGTGAAACAAGTTAAGCCTCCCTGACTACCTCTCCCAGAGCCTGCACTTGGCACTGGGAAGGTCGATCTAGCCAAACCACCCTGAGATTGCTGAGGGTTAGAACCCATTTGTCTCCTGCCATCACCCTGACCATCTTGGCTCCTCTTGGAGCCTCTCTGCCCTTCCTTCTCCTCCTATATCATAAGCTCCATATGAGCTGCAGCATCCACCAAACGTCTATAGTCCCGGATAAACAACCCTCCAACCCTCAACTTGAGTCCATGCCTCAACTTCTGCTCAAACTCAAAGCAATGGCGTTCCTCGGACGCCACAAGTTCAGGTGCAAACCTGGACAAGCTAGTAAAAGTAGCCTCGAATTCAGCCACTGACAAACCCTGTTGTTTAAGCTGGCAAAACTGTT